TTTTTTACAGCTCAAGATAGTTTCCCTTATAGGTAAGTGATATTACTATACAGTGTACATACTGGGATTTCTTTTGGCCTTGCTGTGCTTGTTCTTCATATTTCCTCAAAATTTATGGGAATACATTTCAATTCCAGCTACTATTCTGTACTTCCCTTATTGAATGTTATTTCATTTTTTATTGCTATTCATAATCTTTCAAAGATGAAAGAACAAAGATATAATGATCTCCAAGTATTTTAAGACAATGGGAGATACATTCTGGGTGCATTCTATGTGTAATTAATATATAGTCTGCTTTTTATTTGTTGCTGGCCAGCTCAGCATCAATTTGGGATGGCAATGGCTATCTTTAGAACTTTCCACACATGCCTTTCATGTGGAGCAACTGGACAACTCTAAGGGGACATCTTTCCATATGGATTGCATCTCCTGTAGTTGTGCAATGAGGCAAACTTAAAGATTCATTTGCATTTACTGAATGTAGATAACATTTCCCAGAAAACATTTAATTAACAAGCATATGATGAGCACCTACTATGTGTATGGCACTTTGTAGACACAAAAAAAGGTTTATTTGTTAAGGATCCATCCCCAAATATTTTATAGTTCCAGAAGGAGAAATTAAACACATGAAACAGTTGTATATGAAAACGTAAGAAGATATAATAGAAATTATAGAAAAATTGTAGAATAGTAGAAGTTGACTAAATTCTGAAATAGTTCACTCATTTTTCAGACTTTAACTTTTTTTAACCTGAGTATTCCTTTTATTAGAGTAATTATATATAGCCTTTTCAGAATCATTCATAGCTTAGAAATTTAAAATATGAAATGTATTTTACTGTCAAATGTTTTTATCTTATTTTTTATAATTATTTCATTTTTCTGTGTAAATTCCTAAGTTCCTAAATCCAAAGGAACTCAATCTAGTAGAGGCAATTAGAAACTAGTAAGAGTACTACATACTACATATGAAAGCCTCTCCACCAACAAAATACCTGCAAGGTAATGGGGTGCAGTGTGTGGAAGAGTTGTGGAAGGCTTTCTGAAGAGGCATCAGGAGCTGGTACTAACAAGGTATTCACTTGGAAGGAAAGGACATTCCAAACAGTGAGGGCATTATGTGTGAAAACATGAAGATTTGCTAAGGTCTACATTTTTCAGGAACAATGAAGTTTTGAGAACTTGGAACCCAACTGGAAATCACTCATGATTGTTTTGGAGAAAAATAAATTCTATGTCAATATAATTACCACCAATGTATACACAATAAAAGAAATGTTAAGGATCCCTATGATCCGACTGCACAATATAGAAAATTCCACTAAATAATACTGTTACTGCAAGCTAGAACAACCAATTAATTAAGTAGAATGTATGTTACAGAGTATTAGCTATTATATATTAAAACAAAAAACTTAAAAAACTATATGTAAAAATAACCACAAGTAAGATGACAGAGTATAACTACATTTATTATTGTGAGAACATAAAGTTCAAGCTTTTACTATGCATAGCCAATTTTCTTTTATGTATTGCCTCAGAGAACCTGCTAGGTCTATGCCTGGACTATGGTAACAGTTCTGAACAACCATTACTAAAAGTTTTAAATTCTCTTGCATCTCTGTGGTATCAGCTGTATATTTTCTGCCTCAATATAATAAAATTTTACTCTCATAACTTCAGGAAAATGTATTGGCAAAAACAAGTTATGTGTACAGTATATTCCTTTGCATGCCAATTTGAAGAAAGCAATTTTGGAAGAGATTAAAAGTGTTCCTTTAATCTCATTATTATCTAGGTAATATTTTGATACCTAGATGAGTATTTGTTTATACATATTTTTCCATTTTGTACATGATAGTTTCAAATTAGTTTGCACTTATTTGTTGAACAAATATATATTGCTCAGTATATGATATGCTTTTGTATCAGAATCTGGTTAAAAAGTAGTGAAAAGATTTGCTCTTTGCTCAGGGATAGTTTATGTGTAGTGGAGGAAACTTTTAAAGCAAGTAATCACATAAAGTTTTCCTTTTATTCAGTAACTTTCTTTTTCAAAGGAAGAAGTTTAAATAATTAACTCTAAGCTTATTTTTTAGAGTGGAGTCAAATGAGTTTACTGCCTAGAAAAAACATATTTCTCTTTCATAAGGTTAAAACACAAACAATGGAGTTTTACTCAGCCATAAGGAAGAATGAAACCATGTGGTTTGAAAGTAAATGGATGCAATTGGAGGACACTATGTTAAATGAAGAAAGAATGTTTTCTCTCAAATGATAAAGATAGATCTAAAAGATAAACATATATACAAAACCAAACATGATCATATACAGACTTATATGAAGAACACATTTGTAATAGTAGAACTACCCTATGGAACTCGGGGGGAGGAGGGAAAGGAAAAGAATGTTACAGAATTAACAATATCAAAATACATTACATCTGTACAAGTAGAGGATATAATGACATGTATTGAAAGGGGAGTGGGAGGGAAGGGGTAAGGGAGAGTAGTGGAAGCATTTGAGTAAAGTATATTCACAGTGGGGATACTTCTAGAAACTCCTTTGAAAATCAACTTTGGAATTAATAACAAAAAACGACTATAAAATAGGTATAGTGAGGGGGGTACTCATGGAAAGTGAATGGAAATGAAGGTGAGAGAATATGATGTGCTTCATACACACATACAAAATTTAAGTGAGGTGGTGGGATGGTGGGGATAATCTAACCAAAGAATAATGTAAGTCTATTAGAAACTGTCATAATGAACCCTGCTGTACAGTGAATATATCCTAATAAAAATGGGAAAAAATGGAAAAAGTGCCTTGTTAAAAGAAAAAAAATCAAGACAATAAATAAGAGGTCAAATATTTTCTGTCATAATCATTCAGAATCTTGAAAGATATAAAGCACTTTTTTCGATCCTATAAGGTATGGGTTACCAGGACTTGACTTATAGAACAATATTAAGGATTAGTCTTGGCAGTCACAGATAAAAGACATAATACAGACTGTTTATAAAGGATCCTAAAGTTATATAGCACAGAAGACAGATTTACGTCCAAGTCTTCCAATAACTATCTCATTCAGATAAAAGTCAAAACTCTTACTTTGTCCTATAAGATCCCGTTATGTACATTCTCTCCCCACTCTGTCCTCAGGGTTCTCATGTGCTCCTACTCAATACAGTCCCACTCCTTCTCCAAGGTCCTTAAACTTGCTGCTCCTTGTGCCTAGACCATTCTTCCTCCAGGTATCTACATGCATTATTCCCATCACCTCTTTCAGGTCATTACTAACATGTCCTTTACAATGAGGAATTTCCTGGAGATAACAGCTTGCTTTCAGCAAACTTACTATTCACTTCCTCTGTATTACTTATATTCAACATTGGGGGAAGGGAGGGTAAGGGAGGGGCTGAATTATTTGTTGCTTTTATCTTAAATAAATTTGTCACTGTATTTGGATCCCTTGGATGGACTTAAGAAACAGATGCCTATAACAGCAAAAAAATTAAGACACATGGCACAGCAGCTCTTGCTGTGGTTTCTTTTCATAAAAACAGAGTAACATTTTTTCTTCTAACATATTGTCAAGTGCTATAGATTGAAATGAATTAAGTGTTTTCAGTATGCTAGATAAAACATTTTTTTTGTGTGGTACTGGGACTTGAACTCAGGGCCTTCACCTTGAGCTACTTCACCAGCCCTATTTTTGTGAAGGGTTTTTGAGACCGGGTCTCTTGGAACTATTTGCCTGGCCTGTCTTTGAATCATGATTCTCCTGATCTCTGCTTCATGAGTAGCCAGGATTATAGGTGTGTGCCACTGATGCCCAGCAAAAGATTTCAGAATAGAATATTATATTTCTTTTCTAGGCCAAATCATACAAAATCAGTATTCTCAATCTTAGTGTAGGCAGAAAGAAAAAAAGAAACCCTTCATTTTTCTTAGTTATTAATTAGTCTTGGATTTGACTAATTTGACTATATCACATTTTTAGAATCAAAACTGGCTAGCTACAAATTAAAAAAAAAAAAAAACCAAAAAACCAGGAGGCTTTGCTTGCATTTATTTCTCATTACTCTAGTTGCCCTCAGAACTGATGTTTGAAAAATTCATGCTTCAAGCATGGTTTAAGACCGATGACCCTACAACTTAGATCTGATGCCCACATTTCTTTCATTCCTTTAGTAATTTTGATGATTGTATGATAGAGATTTGGAGATGTATCATATAAGGCTTTTACTTCTTCATTAGAGAGGTTAAACTCTAAGAATTAGGATTCCTTAAAGAATGTGAAATAGTTACTACTTAAAACAAAAGCTGAAGGAAGAACATGGTCAAGAAGCAAACATATGCCTAATTCATAAACTGAACAACTATAATCTGACACATATACTACAGTATGTTTTAGTGAAAGTGCAGTTTGATAATGATATGTTTTCAAAAAGAATTTTCAACACATACCTACTTCCAATTTTGGCAAAATGGTGAAAAATCTTGCAAGATATTCATTATGAGGATTTCTAATGACCAAAGATTAGTTTATCATTTATTTTTTCCCTTTCAAGTTGGCTTTTCTTATTTGGAAAAGTTACAAGTTTGAATAACTCAAAAGAAGAAGCAATATTTATTAGACTCTGAAGAGAAGGTAATATGAGAAAACAATCTTACAAATGAAGTTAAAACCATGAACAAACCAAAGGAAGACGAAATTGTGAAGTCCATAAAACTTTAAGCTCATTTTGTTTTAGTATGCCATACATACATAACATATGTATTTCTACAGTGAAACTTCATTTTACATAGGAACAGAAACTATTATATCTTTGGACAGTCTACTAGGCTAAACACATGGTAGGTGCTCAAAAGTTCGCTTAATTGAATTTGAAATCATATGGCAAATATAATTAGTTACTTTATATTAACCACTGACATTGTTTACTTTATTAGTTAAAATTAATAAAACTCATTTCAGTATAAAATATTACCTATAGGGATAGCCATGGTACTTGGAACGAAATATGGAAAGTAGAAAACTGAAGAAGAACACCACCAGGCCTAATCCCACTAGGCAAATTACTAGAAAGAGAAAGAAAACTGTTAGTGTCTAAAACCAATTAAAACAACCCAAATGTTTATATTTTTAAAATGCATTCAATTACAGAATACTTACAGGTTCCTGGTACATACAGGTACAACAAACCAGATAATCCACATTATAATGTATTCATTATTTTCCACATTCTTCTCAATGAAAATGTACTATTTGGGGTATGAAAACAACAATGTTGACTGATCTAAGTCTTCCAGTGGTTTTCTTCTCCTATAAAATTGCTACAAGTACTAAAATGCCCCAGGGGGATCAAAACAAAACAAAATATGTGATAAACCACAAACAATATTATCAGCCCTTGCATTCTGAAGCATTGGCTATAACAGCAGAACATTTACATTGTTAGAATACTAAATATAATTTTATTCTTTTCAGATGTCATGTGGTATTCACAAAGAAAAACAATTTTAAGTTACTAGTTAGATTATTGTCTCAGCAAAATCCTGTTACTTAGAAATCATCCTATATGCTTTTATAATGATGAAATATAATTTAAAACTTATGGTTTTTCTAGCATAATAATGAAACTATGTTTAATTAAAATCTGGGAAATCAGTAAGTAAAGAAGGGATGGCATTGTCAAAATATGGTTTACTAGCCAGTGTTCATGCAACTCTTTAGGAATAGTTTTTGCTAGGTTTAAGTACAAATTATGAACTATCAGAAGGATTCAGTAGCATCCCACTGCAGCCTCTGTGACATTTCAATTCAGAAAAATCTCACCATGCGGTTGGACTTCACATGAATATTGGCAGAAAATAAAGTAAAAGTATGAGTTATATTAAATATCTTAATTGTCTTTTTTCAGATACCTATGAGTTTCACATATAATTTTTAGCTCTTTAAACAAGTTCAGGAATACAAAGTGTATTGAGAAAACTCTTAATTAAAAGTTTGTGGAAGAAAAATCATAAAATTATATAGGGACTTGATATTAATTATAGTCAGGAATCAATGACTCTAAAGTACTTTATCATGTTTTGACCTATGTTCACAGAGTAGAGGTATTGCCCAAGCTTTTTGCTACCAAAAATATTACTTCAGAAAGCTACTTTATGTTTTCTACCACCCTCTGAGAGGAATAGCTCCCTCAAAGGATAAACTATAGTAACTTCCTTAAAAACACAATACTAGGACTTGATGGGAGATATAAAGCCCAGTATATCAATACAAAAGACAAAGCCCCTGGAAAAGATACTGTCAAGAGATGTCACCTCCTTTTCTAAAATGTTAATGAAAGGTTTGGAGGGAATTGGAAGGTATTAAAATATTTGTGTAGAAAAGCCTCAGGATTTGAGTGAATACTTGATTCTCATGGCATAAGGAACATGTGTGCCAATAAAATAAAAATCTCTGCTCACAAAATTCTCCCTCTGTAGTATGCGTCTTACAAAAATGACTAAGGCTTTAGCAGGTTGATGTTTTCTTTCTCTCCTATACACATGATTCCACAGAAAATCACTCACATCTCATTTTGGAAAAAATACATTTTCAAGAACATTCACATACAGCCAAGAAATAGAAAAAAGCAAAAACCATCTTCACATTCTTCAAACTAGATGACTTCCTCAGAAGTTGAATGTTTACAAAAGACTTGGCTATACTTCCCATTTAAGACCAAAAGACACTACAAAAATGCCAACACAGAGGACTTACTCCGTCTTTTTCCAACATCTCCTTTGGAAGTTGCTGCTTCATTCAGAAGAACCATTCCCATGGTAATAGCAGCATCTATACTAGTTGTCAAGGAAACAGTAGAAATAGATGCAAATAAAACCTATCAATTTTTCTGAGTCTGAATATAATATTCCAGGATAGTTAAATTACAAATACAGAGAGAAACAAATATAATCATTACTCTTCATATAACATAAAAGCACCACTCATCCTGTATGCCTCAATTTTTAATGCTTATAATCTGAAACTTTAATTAGCTAGATTTTGAGATATTTTTAAATTCTAGCACTTTCATATATGAATATGTTTTCTACCACCCTCTGAGAATATGGATTTGCAAAACTAGTTTTAACATTTAACATAAAAATCTTATAGTAACAGTGATATATTTCATTGGCAATTCTAGAAAATTAGAATGTACTCACACCCTTTTCCATTTTCAGTGTGTAGCTATGTGTATATATGTGTTATTTCCTGTATTTTACTCAGTGAAACACTTATTAAGATCATGTACCATGTCACTTACAAATTTTGGGTATTTAATTACAAGCCTTATAAAATCAAACAGGCACATTATACTAAAATGATTTAACAAATTTAGCAGTATCCTGAGCTAGTCAATTAACTGACATAAAGAGAACACAAAATTACTTCTGTACTAAATGTCTGCTTACAACAGGGTGGATTTATTCATGCTATGCTGAAGGATGCCAGAGATTAAGAAAATAATGGGGATATTTCGACTTTGTAAGAACACTTTTTGTCATTATTAAAATATATTTTTTTTACATTTTGTACTGTTAAGATTTTAAAACATACCAGTTCTGGACATAAATTTATTAAGTATCTGCGGATCCTTAATTATCCGTTAAGTATTAACGGATTCAAAAATGAAGAGAAAACTAATTCAAGCCAAGAAATACTCCCATTTGCTTAATTAATTTCATCATGACTTTGCTGTCTTCATTTCTACCTGTTATATGTACACACAACATCAGTAAGCTTCCTGTGCAGGGATGTTTCTTCTACCCCAAATAAAAAAAGCAAAATGGATATTATTAGGTATATGTCTATACAATTAAATGGAATGAGTTAGAGGAAGTTATGCAGAGTAAAATATTTCCACACTGAATCAGTTTTCATAAGTATATGATTGAATTTGTCATTATTAATAATTGCACTATTTATATGAGGCTGTTCTCATGACCCCTATTATCTAACTTCTGGATAATATCTGGCTCCTCTAATTATGCCTACATTGACCTCTCTATTAGAACAAATGGTTTTCAACCTATTCTATTGTTGCACTGGAACCCTCTCTAGAACAAAAAGTCAGTAGCAAAACGGACCAAAAACTTGGGTTGCAAGCCTACTGTATAACAGACAAAAAGTGCCTACCAGCCTATGCAATGCTGCCCCTCCCTGCCCCCCCCCATATTCTAAATACACCACTAAATTTAGAGATCCATGATACACAGTTTTAAAACCACTGAAATTTGGGTATTACTGAATTCTTGAGTTTCAATCATGTAGCAATGGATATGATAAGAGAGCGACTGTTCCAGTGTGAGAGAAGTCTGTGGATGTTAAGGATTTATTTTTCATGTGGTTTAGGAAATCTACCTGTAGAAAGTCCCCTGAGTCCACAACCACAGAGTGCTACTTCTAACAAAATGAGGAAAATGAAGTAAAAACCTGTATGATTAAGACTGCTCACATGTAGGAGATTCTGTTGTTTAGTGGCACAGACAGTTATGACTGTGGGAAAAGTTTACAAAATTAAATGACAATTTTAATGAGCATAAACTATATTAAAACATTCTCTGGATCAAATTATATACACATATAAATACATCTATGTTGTCAGAGTAAAAAGAGTATCTTAGTGAGAGCACCTATTTGTAATTTACTGGGGAGGCTAAGGCAGGAGAATCACAAGCTTGAGGCCAGCCTGGACAACTTAGCAAAATTTGTCTAAAATAAACAAAAAAACAAGGCTGGGGTGTGTAGTTTAGTGGTACAGTACTTTGTGTAGCATGGATGGAGCCCTGAGTTCAATCCCCAGTACTGCAAAAATATATATTAATATATTTTATTGTGTATCTTCATTCCAGTTTTAATTCCCCCCTTTGAATTGCTATATTATAATGTTGAACAATTTGTGAACAATGTGCTTCTCACATGTAATGCTTTTGAATTTCATAGAAATTTAAACATGGTAGAAAATCATGTGAGTTCATAAGAGAAAATACAAGTTATTGCTTTATCTCACTGACGACATTTAAGTTATTCCCAAATATTTGCTATCATATTGCTGTGAAGAGTATTTTTTTAAGACCACATTTTTTTAATGGGATAGATTTGTTGTACAGGGGGGATTGTGACAATTCCAACAGACTTATTTAGTTAGATCACCCCCGCCATCTCTCCTCTCTGCCCCCTCCCTGCTCCACTTAAAGCAATTGCAAGGTTTCTTTGTTCTATTTCTTATAAGTATATGAAGTTCATCAACCATATTCTCCCATCTTAATCTTCTTCACTCACCCCACTTCTTTCCACAAGTACCCCGCCACACACCGTTCCTATTTTTATAGTCCTGTGTTTAATTATTAATACTTGTCAGTATTCAAAGGAGTTTCCCAATGTATCCTCACTGTAAGTATACTTTAATTTGGTCCATTCAACCCCCTCCATTGCTCTCCTTACCCTTTTACCTCCCACCCTCCCATTTTTCAATAGCTTTCAGTAAATATCTTTATATCCTCTACCTTCACAAATGTTTTATGATATTGTTGATGCTCAATCATTCTATTTTCCTTTCCCTCCTTCCCCGAATTCCAGAGTAGTTTCACTATTACAAGCATGTTTTACATAGGAATTTGTATGTGATGTTTGTTTTGTATATATATTTTATCTTTGGTATCTATGTTCCACATGAGAGAAAACATGCAGTCTTTGTCTTTCTAAGCCTGGCTTACTTCACTTAACATGATGTCCTCCAATTGCATCCATTTACCTAATAATAACATGTCATTATTCCTTATGGCTGAGGAAAATGCCATTATGTATATAAACCACATTTCCTTGATTCATTCATCAGTTGTAGAGCATCTGGGTTGTTTCCGTAGCTTGGCTATTGTGAATAGTGAGATGATGAACATTGGTGCACAGGTACCTCTACTGTGTTCTGTCTTATGTTCCTTTGGGTGTATGCCCAAGAGTATCACTCAATCATATGGCAGTTCTATCTTTAGCTTTATGAGGACTCTCCATACTGCTTTCCACAATGGTTGCACTAATTTTCATTTCCACCAACAGTGTATAAGGGTTCCAGTTTTGCTGTATCCTCACCAGCATTTCTTGTTATTGCCCATGAATATGGCCATTCTAACTGGGGTGAGATGAAAAAGAAGATTTCTATCTTTTTATAGACAGGGAAGTTGAACACTTCTTCATGTGTTTACTGGAAGAAAACTGTACCTCTTCCTTTGGAAATTCCTTATTTAACATATGTGTTCATTTCTTCATTGGGATGTTGATTCTTTGGAGATTGAGTTGAATTCCATGTAAATTCTGGATATTAGTGCCTTATCAGCTGAATAGTTGTCAAGGATTTTCTCCCATTCTGTGTGTTCTCAACTCTAGTGACTGTTTCTTTTGCTGTGCAGAAACTGTTTAGTTTGATGTAGTCCCATTTGTTCATTTTTTCTCAGATGTTGAGCCTGTTAAGTTCTGCTTAGGAAGTCATTCCCTACCTATCTTTTCCAGTGTATTTCCTACTACTTCTTGAGTTGTTTCAAGGCTTCAGGCCATATATTAAGGTCTTTGATCTACTTTGAGTTGATTTTGGTACTGGACGAGAGGCAGGATCTAGTTTGAGTCTTCTACACGTGGATGGATATCCAGTTTCCCCAGCAACATTTGTTGAAGAGGCATGTCAATCATGTGTTTTGGACTCCTCTGTTGAATGTCATTTGGCTGTAGCTTCATGGGTTTATGTCTGGGTTTTCTATTCTAATCCATTGGTCTTCCTGTATTTGAGGTCTTTTGTGTTTCCACAAGTATTTTAGGATTGGTTTTTCTATCTTTGTGAAGAATGCCATAAGAATTTTGATAGAGATTGTGTTGAACATGTAGATTGCTTTTGGTAATATGGCTGTTTTCAAAATGTTGATGGCATAGGAGATTCTTCCATCTTCTGATATCTTCTTCAGTTTCTCTCTTTAGTGGTTTATAGTTCCATAGAAAAAGTTTGTGGCTTCCTTCATTAAGTTTATTTCCAGGTACTTTATTATTTTTGAGGCTATTGTAAATGGGATTGTTTTCCTGATTTCTTTCTCAGTCTGTTCTTTGTATATAAAAAGGCTACTGATTTCTGTATGTTACATTTGTATTTTGCTACTTTGCCAAAAGTTTATGATTTCTAATAGATTTTTTGGCAGAGTGTTTAGGGTCTTTTATGTATTGGATTATGTCATCTGCAAATAGGATAGTTTGACCTCTTTCTTCCCTATTTGAATCCCTTTTATTTCTTGCTCTGGCTAGGAATTCCAAAACCATATTGAAAAGGAATGAAGAAAGGGGGCTCCCTGTCTCATTCCTGACTTTAGTGGGATTGATTTCAGTTGTCCTCTATTTAGTATAAAGTTGGCTGTAGGTCTGTCATATATAGTCTTTAGTATGTTGAGAAACATTCCTTCTATTCCTAGTTTCTTCAGAGCTTTTATCCTGAAAGGGTGTTGGATTTTGTCAAAGGCTTTTTTTGCATCTATTGAGAGGATCATGTGGTTTTTGTCCTTGTTTCTGTTTATGTGCTGTATTACATTTATAGCTTTGTGTGTGAACCAGCCTTGCATCCTTGGAATAAAACCATTGGCCATGAGTATGATCTTTTTGATGTGTTTTTGAATATATTTACCAGTATTTTGTTAAGAATCTTTACATCTATATTCATTAAAGATTGTGGTATATAATTCTTTTTGTTGTTGTTGTTGCATCTTTATTGGGTTTTGGAATAAGTGGCTTTCATAAAACAAGTTTGGAAATGTT